TTTATAGATCAGGCTGGCCTCAAACTCAGAACCTCCTGAGTGATTAAGGTTTGCACTACTATGCCTGGTCTGTACCTTTTAAATCATATTTTCACTTTTCCTATGACTCAGTTACTAGATTTTTTTTTTAAATGAGCTTATGATTTTTCAAATCTAAATCTTTCACTTTGTCTTGCTTTTAGTTTTTGTATTTAAGCCTTTCAACTTTGGGTGATAGAGCTTTGGGTGTATGAGGCAAGTGCTGTGCCACTCGATTACATCCTAGTGCCCCTTTGGTGACTGTTTATTTAGTTGGACTTAGAAGAATCTGAAAATAGCATTCTGTTTAATAGCATAAAAGCTTAATAATGAACTTGGAAAGTTTCTGCATTTATTGATAAACTGACATACTTTCTTTTTTTGACAGAGATGTTATGAACATAAACAATATAGAAATGGATTAAAGTTCTGTAAACAAATCCTTTCCAATCCCAAATTTGCAGAGCATGGAGGTAAGGATACACTATGCACCTTTAATTAGATTTGATATTATTGAATGACTGGCTTTCCTTATTTTGCTCTGCTATTCAGCTGTCTTTATTTTCCAGAGTAGACCTTTAGCTCTTAAAGGAAGATAAAATTTAATAATAAATTTTGAGTTAAAATACCAAGAAAATGATAGCACATTTGATTTAAGCCTTGGTTACGTCTTCTAACAGAGCCAATGGAAAGGCAGAAGAGCCCATTTAGGCCAAATGTTTTTTTAATTAATGTGTTTATAAGAAAATTTTGCTTTAAAACTTGGAGGTGGACGGATTTTATTCTTTACCATAAGCTTGTTCAGAAAGTGACCATTTACTTTCTTATCTATATTATATCTTAATTAGCTCCTCACCACTGAGTCTTAAGACATTTGTATTTACAGCCAGATGTATAGCTTTTGTCCAAATAATGGTGGGTGATTAGATATTTGCAGAACAGGTGGTGAGTATGTGACAGAACTTGTAAAGAAATAAAAGGAAAATAACATTTTGTGGGTCTGATTTCTATAGATTTGGGAAACATGACTCATTAGTAATTAATTGACATTGTGTATTGAGGAGGGGAGAATGACAGTTCACTATTAAGTTTTTATCATTCCTTCTCTTCATGTATTATGTTTCCCTATGTTCAAGGTTTTACTTATGCTGCAGTTTGGAGTTGAAAGCAATGAGAGTAAAAATACTTAATTTGATCTCCTTTCGTATTGAAAACCTGTCTTCAGTTTTTAATCTGGATAGTAGGTTCTTTTATATTCCATTTCTGAAGTATGTGTTTTGGTAACAGAACTTCTAAATTAAATATGGTAGTTTCATTATCAAGAATGAATTCATAATTTTAGAGTAGTTTTCTCTCTTTTATTCTAAAACATTTTAGGAAAAAAGAATATCTTCTTGTATTTTAACAGACTGAAATTAGGTTGAGTATCAAATATAAATTCCAAGCTAAATGCCACATGCCTGGTTAGGTTTTATCTTACATTATTTGTTTAAAAAACAAACAAAAATCTATGAGAACCTACAAGAACAGCATCTAGAAGTTTTTGCTTACTTGACTTGTTGGTTTTTAAAAACATTTTAATTCATTACAAATCTGGAAATGTTTGTACTGTTTGCTTTTGAGATTATAGTTATTTCTTATTGATTACTTTCTTCTACATTCTTTTTTTCTTTCGTATTAAACCAGAAACCCTGGCTATGAAAGGATTAACGTTGAACTGTCTGGGAAAAAAGGAAGAAGCTTATGAATTGGTTCGCAGAGGTTTGAGAAATGACTTGAAGAGTCATGTGTGTATCCTTTTGAAATGTATATAAGATTGAGTGGGCTGTTCCCTCTTACCACAAGGAAGTGCTTTTTTTCTTAAATTGAACACCGCAACTGTCATCATTCAGAGAACCCCCCTCCCCCCCATATACCCACTGCATTTTAACAATACATGTTAAGTGAACTGTGATCTATGGAAGTTCTTCTCACTTGGGGGGGGGGCATTGCTATGGCTTGAGTATTTATGTTCCTCTAAATTCACATGTTGAAGCCTGGTCACCAGAGTGATGGTATTAGGAGGTAGGTTTGTCTGAAAAGTGATTAAGGTGTGGGGATAGAGCCTTCAGGAATAAAATCTGTGTAACCTGCCCCTTGGCCACATGAGGATACAGTTATGCCATCTGTGAAGGAGAGAACAAGACTCACTAGGTAATGGATCTATAGAAGTAGTATGAGCAGCAGATGTCTTTTGTTTGTAAACTACCCAGTTTAAGTAAAGTATTTTGTTATAGCAGACTAAATGGCCCAAGGGAGATACCATGCTGATTTCACTCATCTGTGATCATAACTTTAGAGAAACCATACTAAAAGGAATATTTTTTAAAGATTTATTCATTTATTAGGTATACAGTGTTCTATCTGCATGTATGCCTACATACTAGAAGAGGGCGCCAGATACCATTATAAATGGTTGTGAGCCGCTATGTGGTTGTTGGGAATTGAAACCAGGTCCTCTGGCAGAGCAACCAGTGCTCTTAACCCTGAGCCATCTCTCCAGCCCCTGTCATAAGGAATATTAAAGAATCACCTACTATATTGAGTAAGAACAGAGGCTGTGAAGTACAGGTTTGCATGTAATGAACTTCACTCAGACCTGAGGCCCTACTTAGCCTTTTTCTGTTATCTTAGGACTCAGTTTCCTCATTTGTGAAATGGGGATATTCATACTCTACTGGTTGTAGTGACTTAATGTTGAAATATATAAAAAAAAATTATGTTTTGTTAAGTGATTGATAAGGACTGTATCTGAGTAGAAATGTATGAGGGAAAACATAAAAAAATGTACTTTGGTAGTTTTCCGTCTCTAACAAGGATACCTGTACCTGTTTTGTGGGTTAGCATAATTTAAGAGCTGAGTCATTTAATTTAGCACATTTTCAAGTGTTTAACAGTCTAGTAGGACAGTACAGGTGAAGTCAATAATGTGTTGTAGATAAGTACTAGATCCTATATATGTTCTCATTTTGAGTATATTTAAAACATGGCTTCTTCAAAGAAGTACCACTGGTTGTGCAAAGCAGAAGTTCGTCGATTGATCAGAGGACTAGAAAGGTAAGCCAGGGCTCAACAGTGCAGTTGTAGAAACCCTCCTACTCTGGATGTTGATATGTCAGTATTTTGCTCTGGATTTACTTAACCACAGTAGATGTAACTAGCTTAAATTAATTATTTTAGATTTATTTTATGAGTATGAGTCTTTTGCCTGCATATATACATTTATACCATGTGCCAACATTATCTTGGTTTTTATCATTTGGGTTTTAAAAAAGAAGTAGGATAGAAAAAAAAAAGACAAATGGGGCAGTAGGATTGATTGATTAATGTGATATAGTAAAAAGGGTTTATAGTAGGTGAGATATTGCCTCCTCCTTTTATTGTATCCCTCTCTCCCTCTCATTTCTCTGTGTAGCCCCAGCTCTCCTGGAATTTTGTAGACCAGACTGGCCCTGAACTCATAGAAATCTGCCTACCTCTGCCTCCTGAATACTGGGATTAAAGGCATGTACCATCCTCATGCCTAGCTTTATAGTATTCTTATCACCAATTGTCAATTTCCTTGGCTTATCTATTTTTAGTTGACTATAAGGTCTCTGAATGTAGGAAATAAACCCCAATTATTGAGAGCTTGTATCAATAATTTTTTAAATGTAGTGTTTTGGTTTTATATGTGATTGAGTGAGTTTTGGAAACATTGTTCCATTTGGAAGATTTTCCTAAAGAACTTTTAGCCAAAGGAAAGCCCCTCAGGATATCATATAAATTATATATCATGGGTTTAGTTCTTCTCTTTTCTTTTAATGCTAAAGATTATTTCTTATATTTACTTGGTGTTTGTTTTGTGTCAGCCAGTGAGCACTTTCATGAATGTTATTTCAGTTACCATTATTTTGTTCCGCTGTGTAGGTATTTTTATTTACGTTCTGTAATGAGAAATGAAATAAAGCTAATTTGTTTGAGGTTATAACATTAATAAAGGTTAGATCTAATTATCTATAGCTTCAAATACTGTGTTCTTTTCTGTTCATTAAATTCTCTTTTTTCCTTGTATTCTTTCCCAGTGTCCCTGTTTACATTCAGAAATTTACAAATGTTAGCTTTCTAAGTATTTAGGAGATTGTTTGGTGTGTATGTGTAAAACATTTTTTTTTTTGTTTTGAGACAAGGTTTCACTTTGTATCCCTGGCTGACTTAAAACTTAAGTCTGTTTCTCTGCTTCCTGAGTGCTGAGATTAAAGGCATGTGCTACCATACCTGGCTGGGAATAATATTTCTTGACATACAGGTTATATCCTTAACTAAGTTACTTTAGGTTGGCATGTTTATGGCCTTCTTCAGAGGTCAGACAAGAAATACGATGAAGCTATTAAGTGCTATCGAAATGCACTGAAATGGGATAAGGACAATCTTCAGATCTTAAGGGATCTTTCCTTACTACAGATTCAAATGCGAGATCTTGAGGGTTATAGGGTAAGTAAAATTCATATTGTTTTATTTTATCATAAGAGAAAAATCTTATTACTTAGAACTTTTAATATATTTTGGTAAAGAAATTTTTCTTTGCATTTTTTTGAAAAAAATTTAACCGACTGCCTCCCTTAGTGAATATACCTGTGATTGGAGCAGTTAGGTCTTAAAAACAATCGTTTTGTTGTGAGATAGAGTAGGAGTACTGTATAGGTTGTTACTCATTTTGTTAAACATTAATACTCAGAATATTGCTATTAATATTTTGTAACTCTAGTCTTGTCATTTTCTGTAAAGTAAGTTTTTAAGTTTTGTGTTTGTCTATTCATATTAATATAGTTTAGTAGCTTCTGTTTAACCCTTAAATCAGTCTTGGGTTTATAATTTCCTCTTTAATCTATTTCTTCATGTTAGTTCCTGCCACAGTGTTTTCTTTACAGGCCTTAATTAAGTGCCTAGAAAGTACACATATTTGGGGTGTACTTTCTAAACAGTTTCATTTGCTGCATTTGCTGAAGGATATCTGGTATAAAGTTTAAAAAGATACTATAAGATTAACACTGGAGGCTTCAAATTATTTGTCACAATACAGCTATATAATACTAGATGTTGAAATTTTTCTAAAATAGTTACCATAATTGTGCTACAGAATGAATAATTGTGGAGCAAATTAATGTGATCTTCTGTTTTCTTAGGGCCCTGAGAATTAAATCCATGGCCTTGTATGCTAGTCAGTAGAGAAGTATTTGCTTTAACTATAAACCTAACAGTAAGTTTTTTTTTTTTTTTTTTTTTTTTTTTTCCCTGCCCCTTGAAGGAAACAAGATACCAGTTGCTTCAGCTTCGACCTGCACAGAGAGCATCATGGATTGGTTATGCTATTGCTTACCATTTACTAGAAGACTATGAAATGGCAGCAAAAATTTTAGAAGAATTTAGGAAAACACAGCAGGTAATAACAAGCCAGTTTATTGTGTCTGATTTGATGTGTAACTGAAAGAAAGAAATTTATGTAGTTTAACCAACATTTTATTTGGAAAATAGCTTCAAACTTATTCACAATTGAAAGAGTAGTAGAAAATAACTATAGGAATTACCTATATTATCTAATGGTAAACCTGTGGTACATGTACTTTTAAAAGTCTTTGTGGTCAATCTGTGCTTACATTTTCTTCCTTAAAAGATTGCAGACATGTTCTTTTACATACTTCACCGTACTCCTAAGAATACTCCTAACAATGCAATTGTTATAATTGCAGATGGTATCACAGATTATCAAAATTAGACTTGTTTCTAAGGTATAGTACATGGTGAAAATTATCTTAATTTTTTCCTCTAACAGTTTTGTTTTCAATTCCATTGTCTGGTTTTTAAGCATACCTGTCATGTGATCATTTCTTGGGAATGTGTCTGAACTAATTTTAAATAGTTTATATTTTCTGGGGCTGCAGAGATGCCTCTGTGGTTAACAATACTGACTACTCCCACAGGAGTTCAATTTCCAGCACCCACACGGCAGCTCACAATTGTCTATAATTTAATTGTCCAGTTCCAGGGGACCCAACACCCATGGCAAAACACCAATGCACATACATAAATAAATAGTTTGTATTTTCTGTTATTAATTATTTGGTGAACATACATTAATGTTTTTGGAATGTTCCTGACTTTGGATTTGTTTGCCTTTCCTCATTGTTAAACTGCACTCTTCACAGAAATCCACAGACTAATGATGGTTGCTTCTCAGTTCAGCACATCAACTGGTACATAATTTATCCGTTCCATTTTATTACTGTGTTAGGGTGGTATTTGCAACTGTAAACTTGTTTCTTTATGAAAAACCTAAGACCAAATAGCTCATCTGTCATCACATTTTGACCACCAGCCTTCAGTATTCACTGCCTGGCTCAGCTGTTAAAATGGCAACTTTGAAGTAGGGATTCTCTCACTCCCATTTTTTTATTTTTCTAGATTTTTTTGTTTGCATTCTGTCATTAGCAGATTTCCCTTTCTATTTGTATATCAAAACTTAAGCAGATTTCCCTTTCTATTTGTATATCAGAACTTATGGATTATTTTATTCAATTTATTATAAGCTGTTCTTTAACATTTCATAAACAGATATTTAGGAATTTTAAAAGTATTGCTATTAACCACATATTATCTTTTTGTTTGGGGGTGTGCAGATAATTTCCTAATACAAAAATAAAATTCTTACTGATAATATTCCTTGTGTCTACATGCAGACATCTCCTGATAAAGTGGATTATGAGTATAGTGAACTCCTTTTGTATCAAAATCAAGTTCTTCGGGAAGCAGGTCTTTATAGAGAAGCCTTGGAACATCTTTGTACCTATGAAAAGCAGATTTGTGATAAACTTGCTGTAGAAGAAACCAAAGGTATTTTAAAAAATATATCATTGTAACTTACAGCCAAGAGTTTGCTGAAAATTCATAGTTACTGGTGACAGTTGCATATAATGGGAAAAATCTATCATTCATACATTTTGAATAACTTGTGATGTAGGAAAATATACATTAAATGATGAACATTGTTGATTGAGGAGAAAGGGTCGCAAAATTCATTTGATAAAACAACTTTGGTAAAGTGTTTGTTTTGAATTTTTTATTGTCTTTAAAGGGGGCTGTGCTATGTCTTCTTCACTGGTCTCAAACCCCTGGGCTCAGTGGTCTTTATTCTGTAGCTGGGAGTAATTGATACTACAGAGTTAAACTAACACCCAGTGTAAGCATCTACTCTGTAAAGTCTCCCTGTTTTTGAAGATACAGGGGTGTTGGGGGGAATCACTACAGGATTTGGCCAAAACATAGGAGATAATTGTAATTTTATAAAACAAGATTAACTATTTTAGAAATAACTCAATGGAAAAATTACAGTCTTTAAGTACTATATGCCAGATTTTTTTTTTTTTTTTTGGATTTATTTATTTAGTATACAGTGTTCTGCCTGCATGCCAAAAGAGGGCACCAGTTACCATTATAGATGGTTGTGAGCCACCATGTGGTTGCTGGGAATTGAACTGAGGACCTCAGAAAGAGCATCCAGTGCTCTTAACCTCCTCTGAGTCATCTCTCCAGCCCCTGTATGCCAGATTTTATTACCAGTAGTATATATTTATAAATTAGTCCTTACTAACATTCGTAGAGCAAGCTGGATGTAATGGTCCATTCCTACAGTCCTATAGTGAAGGGATTAAGGCAGGGTTAGGAGTTTAAGGCCAGCCTGGATTCTAGAGCAAGATCTTGTCTTAACCCCAAACCCCCAAAAGACCAACAACAAACAAATAAGAAAATAACAACAGCAAAAACAAACTAAACGAATTCCCAGATCTCTTTATGGTTTATCTGAGTTTATTTGAGAAAATGGGAAGGCCATAAATTCCAGATGGCAAGGAACAAGATTTGGATTTTTTTGTGATAGGAATGCTAGGTCCTTAAATAAATGTCTCCAAATGCTGCCGTTTATTCCTAGGCTGAGAAAAAGAGAGTTTTGTAGTTCCTATTTATTTGTTAGTTGATTGATTTGAGACCAGGTTCTTTTATGTTGGTATAGGTTAGCCTTTCTAGGTGTTCTGTTGATGTTCTGGCCAGACTTATTAAGACTGGATATCTCTTGTGTGCATGTAGGATTGGTGCTTTACAGTATTCAGCGATTTGTCCTGTTAGAGGAACAAGCAAAATGTCTTTAAATATTGTCAAATGTACTTTGGTTGAGAGCCCATGAAAGTCTAATTTTTATAACTCTCTGCAAGACCCTTCACTTATATCTCCCTTAAAATACTGAATAGTAGTGACTAATTTGATAATTCTAAGCATGATAGGGAAGCTGGGAACTCAGGATAACACTATTCACTGTCAAACATTAATTCAAAAAGAGACTGTGAAGAGAATTTTTGAGGGAAAGTTTTCCTGGGATGTTTTAAAAAATTACTGTGTTTTTGTTAAATAGGAGAACTTCTGTTACAGTTGTGTCGTTTGGAAGATGCTGCTGATGTTTATAGAGGATTACAAGAGAGGAATCCTGAAAATTGGGCCTATTACAAAGGCTTAGAAAAAGCACTGAAGCCAGGTAGTGTGGTTTGATAGTCACTGTTTTCGTCCTTTTTTCTTTCTTCCTCTTTTGCTTCTTTTAAAGACAGTGTAGCCCTGGTTGTTCTAGAACTTCTTCTGTAGACCAGGCTGGCCTCGAACTCAGAGATCTGCCTGCCTCTGCCTCCCGAGTGCCGAGAATAAAGGTGTGCACCACCACAGCCTGATTTTGTTTTGTTTTTTTCTTTCTTCATCCTTAATGTATGTTTTTAACGTGCTGCCGCAAAATCTAGAGCCAGATACATGTTTAATAGGTGAATTCTACACCAGCCAGCGCTACATTGTGAGACTATGTCTCAAGAAAACTAACCATACAAATATGCAAAAATAAACCAGAATTGGTTCAAAGTCTAGCATGTTAGATTTTGTTAGTTCATGCTTATAATCTCTGTACTTGAAAGAATGAAGTAGGAGAATCTTGAGTTTAAAGCCAGCCTGAGTTAAAAAGTAGTTTCAAGGCCTGATTTTACATACTGATACCCAGAAATGACAACCAAGCAATAGATTCAAAATCTAAATGTATAAGTTTACTTCTTAGTCATATAAAAGATTGAGAATATTCTGAAATCCACTTTTACAAGATAATAGAATTGCTTAATAAAGGCCAGTAAGATGACTTACTTGGTGGAAGAAGACACTTGACTCCCAACCTGTGACATTAAAATGTGTAGTGGAATGCAAGTGCATGTGTGTGCATATACCACACCACATCACACACAAATTTTAAGTAAATGTCATAAAGTTAATTTTTTATGTATATGAATGTTTGCCTGTATGTAGAGTTCTGTAATTTTAAATTAGTTACTTTGGGTAACTAATGAATATTTAAAATATGAAATTATTTGGAAATACTTTAAAATGATTGTTGATATGCTTAATTGGCAGGGATACACAATTTTCTTGTACAACTTTGCTGTTTACTTTTTTGTTTGTTTGAGACAGTCTCGCTGATTTCAAGCAAATTTGCTTGAAATTTGTTATGTAGACCATGCTGGCCTTAAAGTCACAGAGATCCAACTGCCTCTGATACATTAATTGTAATTTTATTGTAGTTGTAGTGTTTTACTTAGATTGTAATTGTTTTTATTTAGTAAACTTGTTATTGGGTAGAAATAAGTAATTTGTAATTATATATAAAAAGAAATCCCCCCCTTTTTGTCTACAGCTAATATGTTAGAACGGCTAAAAATCTATGAGGAAGCCTGGACTAAATACCCCAGGGGACTGGTTCCAAGAAGGCTGCCATTAAACTTTTTATCTGGTAAGTAGAGTAATTGCAAAAGAAAGAAAAAGCTATTGTGATTTAAGTATGTGTATGAAGGCTAATGTATGCATTGTATGAGTTGTCAACAGAATCTTTCTCTTCCAGGAGAGAAGTTTAAGGAGTGTTTGGATAGATTCCTAAGGATGAATTTCAGTAAGGGTTGTCCACCTGTCTTCAATACTTTGAGGTCTTTATACAGAGATAAAGAGAAGGTAAAGACAACCACAACTATTCTCAGAATCTGCCTGGCTGGCTCTCCATTCCCTGGGCTCAGCACTACCTCTTTTGTGAACCACTGTTAGTCTCCTGGCTTGCAGTGGGAATGTTTCTATACCCTTTTCTCTTGTAATCTGTTTGCTCTTTGGTGCTGTAGTGACATCAGTATTTGCTTTCTTTCATTTCCTTTAGCTCATACTAACATTTTTTTCTAACCCCCTTTTATTGTTAGAAGTCAGAAGTGATTTATTTTTTCTTTGCCTTGAAACTAAATTTTAGCCTTGTAATCCTCCATTTTTATTTAGTAAAGTGTTGTCAGAAGCATTGTTTTTTTCTTTTTTTTTTCTTTCTGTTTTTTTGAGACAGAGTTTCTCTGTATAACAGCTTTGACTGTCCTGGAACTCATTCTGCAGACCAGGCTGGCCTCGAACTCACAGAGATCTTCCTGCCTCTTCTGCCTCCCGAGTGCTGGAATTAAAGGCATGTGCCACCACCTCCCAGCCTTCAAGTGCTTTTTAAAGGGGTATTTTAATCTTTATGTTGATTATTTCCTTGCAAGAACAATTTTATCAAGATATATTGGGTTAAAAACATGAAAGATCATTGAAAAGAATTAGAAAGGTGGGAGAAATTGAGCATGTGTAATACATAATGTGCATTTGTCAGTCTTTTGTTGAAAAGCCCAAGGTATGTATGGGCTTAATTGATTGCTCCTTTTATTTTCCTTGCATAGGTCACATCCATAAGAATCTAACCTATTCTAGTTTTTATAATTTCCTTCAAATCTTTTCATAGTATCCAACTTAAATAATTTTTGACTTTTACTAAGTTTACATGATATTGGATTAAATTCTGCGTTATGATAGTCTTTCAGTTGTTATTAAATGCACCTAACTCAAACAGTTTGGGAATGTCATATTGCACCTTGGTGTAAGTGTGTAGCCTAACTTGTGAGGAGAGCACAGGTGATATCAGAATAACCTGGCTGTGACAATTCCGTGCTTATAGTCCACTCACAAGAAAACCTGCAGTAATCTGTTCATTGGTCATTTAAGCAAATTTCTATAGTAACAAATCATTAAGGATGAATTAAATAAATAAATCATGTTTTTTAAATTTTGTTTTTAGATTTGGTGTGGGTATTGCGCTATGTTGCCCAAGCTGGCTAGAATTTCTGGGCTCATTTGATCCTCTTGCCTCAGACACTTGAATAGGACTACAGACACCTGCCACTGTGCTCTGCTTAAATTAGGGAATTAATGAAATATAAAAGTACTGCATGCCTCCGAGAAAGCCAGAAGTGTAGTTAAAATTTAGGAGAAAGTACAATCTGGACAGACAGGTATTTTCCTGGACTTTTAGCACCCCACTTTGCTGGAATTCGAAGTTAATGATCTTTTTCTTCTGAATTATGAGACGAGTTCATTTATGAGATACTTACAAAAATGCCCCCTTCACATAACATTTAATTCTTTTTATTTATCTGAGGCCAGACTTTATGTCTCAAGTTTCAGGCTTGCTGCATAGTTGGAGCTGACCTTGATCAAACTCTTGATCCTTCTGCCTCCACCTCCTATGTGCTGGTATTACATGCATGTGCCACCATGCCAGGGCATGGCATTTAATTCTTGATCATAAAGAGCAAGTGATAACTGTTGGTATTCTCTATATGTTTTAAGATAAAAATTAATTTAGACATAAGTTACAGCATTGCCTCTGTCCAACATTCATCCACTGCTGGTTTAGTGATGTTTTATTTCCTATCATACAAATGAAGGTTTTAGGAGATGAGTATTAATGTGTGCCTTTTATTTTTAGGTTTTTTTTTTTTTTTTTTTTTTTTTTTTTTTTTTTTTTTTTTTTTTAAGATAGGGTTTCTCAGTGTTTTCTTGGCTATCCTGGAACTCGATCTGTAGGCCAGGCTGGTCTTAAACTCAAAGATCCACTTGACTCTGCCTCCCTAGTTCTGTGATTAAAGGTGTGTGCCCAGCTTAGACTTTGTAGGTTCTTGTCTAGAGGTTAAAATACTCATAAAGGGAGGGAATATGTGTGGGAATATTTATTTAATCCTTTAGTATAAGGAATACATTTTGCATAAGAGCAGTAACTTACTTTCACTAAAATGTGCTTGTGTTTGTACTCTAGGTGGCAATTGTAGAAGAACTAGTAGTTGGTTATGAAACCTCTCTAAAAAGTTGTCGCTTATTTAACCCCAATGGTAAGTACATACATGTTTGATAGACTATGAAATTAGCATTTAGTTTTGATTATTTTGATAGCAAGTATGGTGCATTTAGTTTCTTTTTCTATTATGTATTCTTTTTCTATTATGTATAGCCCTGGCTGTCTTGGAACTCCATCTGTGGACCAGGCTGTCCTCAAACTCACAGAGATCCCCCGCCTCTGCCTCTGCCTCTGTCTCAGGAATGCTAGTATTAATGGCAAGGGCCATCATGCCTGGCTATCCTCTAATGTTAAATCCCAAGCTTTACATTATTTCATGAATTTTTCAACATGTCTTAGAGAAGAGTACATTTCAAACAAAGCTGTAACCTAGTGTAAGTGGCATGGGCTCATAATCCCATCTATTCAGAGTATTTGAATTAGGGAAATTTAAGAAGTTGAAGGCCTCTGGGCAAGTAAGAACCTGTGAAGATGGAGTTTCTTTCCAGCCTGGTCCCTTTAGCCCTTTAGCCCCAAATAAACAAACATAGGCTTATAATAACTATAAACTGTTTGGCCGATGGCTTAGGTTTCTTATTGGCTAGCTCTCTCTACCTATAGCTATTAATCTATGTATTTCTACATGGCATTATCTTACCTGAGAATGCCCATGCATCCTACCTTCCCAGTAGCTACATGGCGTCTCCGGTGACTGATTCTCTGCCTTTCCTCTTCCCAGAATTCTACTGGTCTGGTAGCCCCACCTATACTTCCTGTCTTCCTACTGACCAATCAGCATTTATTCATCAACCAATAAGAGAAACATATGTTCAAAGCATACAGAAGGACATCCCCCATCATCTCCTCTTTTCTGTCTATATAAAAAGAAGGTTTAATTTAAAATTTTATATAACAAAAGTTATCAAGCAAGAATTATAGTTACTAAAATTTAGTTCATTAATATTTAGCAAAATTTAAAGAAAATATTCTATCATCTATCCTATCCTGGTGAGTCTAAAGTTTTATATGTACCTTATCTTTTATCATAATTCAGAAAAACCATAACAATCTGTCCTCAACTCCATCAAATACTACAGAAGGATAATATATAAACTCTAGAATTGACAGAGACACTGCCTGGACAGCCACCCAAAGTTCCTCTGTAATGTTGGGGCATCCATCTTCAGCCCATAGTCCATAGTGTCTGGCAGACTTTTTAATGAGGCAGGAAGCTTGAAGAACCATGCTGTCCCTTGGCAAGTCTAGCAGTCACTTTTCTTTGTAACCTGCTTGTCCAGTTTTGACAGCGTGCTGTCAAGCAGTCCAGGCAAGAGCAGTCTTGTCCAATGGCTATTCCTGCCATGTAAAAGGCAAACTCCATAACGAGTTTTCTTCAATGCCCATCTTCCTCTCTGATGTAATTGGTGTTGCCAGGAGCTGTTATGTCTCATTTTCATGAGAAACCTTAATAAACCCATTTTAAATGCCATATTCTGTAGGTCTTTGAAAAATTTGAAGTATGCGTATCCATCTCAAATATATTACTTTTTTTTTTTTTTAAAGATTTATTTATTATCTATACAGTATTCTGCCTGTGTGCAGGCCTGGTTGTGAGTCACCATGTGGTTGCTGGGAATTGAACTCAGGACCTTTGGAAGAACAAGCAGTGCTCTTAACTACTGAGCCATCTCTCCAGCCCTAAACATTACATTTTTAAATGAGCTGTATAAATACAATGTCTAAACAAGAGTAGAAATACATATATAACAAAATTGACCTTAAATTTGTATCAATAAACCAAAATCCATACCAATGCAGAGTATTCATTTCTATATCAACCTTGTTTCAAAATTTTGAAAGAGGGTTGCTGGTACAGCTCAGTGGTAGAGTTTTTGCTTGGTGTGTCTTACCAGGCCATGGGGTTCAATCTCAAGTATTTCATTTTCCCCCCAAACACACACCATACATATACACCCCATACACACATAACCTAGGATGATATTATGTTTGCAAATCAGTACTTTCATGGATACAGAGTTAGCTCAGTCTGTAAAATATACGTGTAAGGGTCCCCAAGTTTGATTTCAGTGCTCACATGAAAAAAAAAAAGAAAGAAAGAAAAAGCAAGGCCTCGTTGCATGTGTTTATATTCCCAGTTTGGGGGAGGATCTGCTAGATAGCCAGCCTAACCTAATTTGCAAGCCTCGGGTCCCAGTGAGGGACCCTATCCTAAAAACCAGGTACATTGCAACTGAGAAATACTTGTTCACTGTATCACCAACATGTAGATGTACATGCACACAAAATAAATATGTCTTTAGTTATTAATAACCAGTTTACAATCACATTTTCAGTTGTATTATATTTTGTCTTTCCCTCCGTTCTAATTCAGTCCCTTTGTCTTTCCTCTCCTTTCCTTCTTTTTTCTCTTTCCCTTTTTCTTTCTTCCAGATTTTGAGACAGGGTCTTACTTTATAATCCAAGATGTTCTTGAACCCAGGACAGTTGTCTTAGTTGGGATTTCTGTTACCGTGATAAACACCATGACCAAAAATAACCTGAGGAGAGGTTTTGTTGCAGTTTACAACTCAGGGACTGAGAGAAGTCAGGAAGGAGTAGGGTAACAAACATTTTGAAGTCAGGAACTGAAGTAGAGGTCATAGAGGAGTGCTGCTTACTGGCCCATGGCCCGCTTCCTAAGGCTTAGCCTGATCTCTTATACACCACTGACAGTGGGCTGGACCCTCCCAGATCAATCACTAATTTAAAAGCCATAGTGCAGACTGCCCACAGGCCAGTCTGGTTCGAGGGAGTATTTTCTCACTTGAGGCTTTTTCTTCCCAAATCAGTTTGTGTCAAGTTGACATAAAACTATCCAGCTCAGCAATACTCCTTCTTTACCACACCCAGCCCTTTCCTTTATTTGAAGATCAAGTAACTCTTAACAGAAATAATTTGGTTGTTGTCTCCTTTAATTCATGTTTATCACCTCTTGAACCTGTGATTATTGGAGAGTGAATTTTCTTAATCTAGATTTTGATGAATATATTTTACGTATATTATTTTTCTGCCCTTATAAAATATTTTTTTTAATTGGTAGTTAGATGAAGAAATGGATAGTCTTTTCTGCTTAGCATTAGCCACATAGAAAAAAGTCTGGTTGCATAATTCTCAATCTTCATAATGCTGTGACCTTTTAATTCAGTTCCTCATGTTGTGGTGGCCCCAATCAATCCATAAAATTATTTTGTTGCTAACTATAATTTTCTACTGTTATGAATTATAATGTAAATATCTTCTTTCATAATGGTCTTAGGCAACCCTTTAAAGGGTCATCTAACCCACTAATGTTTGGGGTTGTTTCCCATAGCTTGAGAACCACTGATCTATCTAGTTCTTTATAGTACAGTTCAAATGCTGGTTAGCAGCAACATACATACAGCTAATGTCTGTTCTACTGAACAGGACAGGTGAGAAACATGTCTGTTGCTCCAGAACCTTGTAACGGACAGACTCTAGCTAATGGTTTGATGAAGGTTGATTAATTGGGTTCTCTCTGTGTCTCTGTCTTACCTCTCTGTCTCTGTCTCTGTCTCTCTTTCTCTCTTCTTTCTCTAATAAAAACATAAACTAAATGAGCCAAAATCATTTTCTTCTATGAGTAGGCAAATACTGTTATTTTGAAAGCTAAATTTTATTTCACTTACAATTTGGTTTACAAAAGTTTCAGCTTGTATGGAGAAAGACACAAAAATTTTTTTCCTCCTATGTTATACTTTGGTTCTTTACCAAGTTTCACGAGATTAGACTGGTTCATTGCATTCTCCATCGTGGCAAGTAGTTTTATTGAAAAAAAAAAAATGAATTCAGGGCCTGGTGATTTCTGAGTTTAGTCCCTGGATCCCCCATGGTAAAAGAATTGAACTTACTTGAATGATAAGTTGTCCTTTGACCTGTTTATGCCCTGTGGCAGGCATGCACCCAGACACATATACTCACAACAAATATAACAAATGTTTTCAAAGAAAATAATTTCTATTTGGGCTGGAGAGATGGCTCAGCGGTTAAGAGCACTGACTGCTCTTCCAAATGTCCTGAGTTCAATTCCCAGCACCCACAGGGTGGCTCACAACCATCCGTTATGAGACCTGGTGCCCTCTTCTGGTGTGCAGATATATATCGAAGCAGAATGTCATATATATAATAAATAAATAAAATCTTAAAAAAAGAAAATAATTTATATTTAAGCATTCCTGATATTTATTTAATTTTATGTGGCTCCATCTTTCAAGTACTGTGGTGGTAGGTGATAACTTACTCAATGACAATAACTCGAGCACCTAACTTGTGCACTACCACTGAAGATCTGGAATCATTTTTCCCACAGAGTTCTGGCTTCCGTAGTGGACTAGCCCACCATGTGGGACCTGGGGTACACATTGCTACTAAGCTGGCCATTGTTTCTAGGTCTCAGATTAATTTTAACAGTACTTTTAAAAAGGCATAGAGTGGTTTCATTGGTTAATTGTCATGATATTCCTTTGATTATCAGCATTTTTCTACATATTTTACAATGTGGAAGAGGCTCAGTGACATACCCATGAATATGCAGCACTTTTGTTACAGATCTATCAGATGAGGAGTTGGTGAGTTCCACTCCTATTATTTGTCCACTGAGCCATCCTGTTCTTACTAGGGAAAAGATAAGCAAATAGAATTTGAGAGCAAATATGATTCTCAGGTTATAGAGATTTATGTTTAAGGACAAAATTTTTGTTGTGTGAATTTTGTGTTTAACTTTCACATTATTAAAATTACATCTTGAAAACGTTACATCTTGAACTGAAATATAGAATAAATGTTTTTTTTATTTTTCTTATTTTCTTTAGATATAGCTCTTATTCAGTCTATATTGTTGATCTTTACATGTTTGGCATAATATTAAGACCTAAAAATGTCACCAAAGATAAAAATGTTCACATCACAAATATATATGTGGGTTAGTATATTACTTAGAAAATTAGGCAGTCACACTTTTCTTAAAATCTTACTATAAGTAAGGTATGCTAAGGTGCACTTAAGATACAGAATAGAAAATGTGCTTAGCTGTAGATTACATCTAGACACATGCATAAACTACTTTAAAACTACTTTCCTTATAAATAGAGGGGCCATTATGGTGGTTGGATATTCTCTTAATGTTTGTAATGTCTAATCTTGATTTTTTTTTTCTTTTTTTCCCTTTCAAGATGATGGAAAGGAGGAGCCACCCACCACATTACTTTGGGTCCAGTACTATTTGGCGCAACATTATGATAAGATTGGTCAGCCATCTATTGCTCTGGAATACATAAATACTGCTATTGAAAGTACACCAACATTGATAGAACTCTTTCTTGTAAAAGCTAAAATCTATAAGGTAAAATCTTTATCCCTTCTTTTTTTGTAACGAGATATTAGTCATCATTTTTGTTGTTTTACAGCTTCTAGGTAGAGTAAGTAACATTGTATGAGAAATATCAGGCTGATGTATTCTTAGAGTTGTAATGGTAATGTTTATTTGTTCATTTATCAATAACTATACAAACAATACATAAGAGAAATACTGTGTGTGGGGGGACTCATATGTTCCTACTTGAATTGTTACTGAATGTTTAATAGTTATTTACTGTAAATTGTGTGTTTCTGCTAACAGTTAAGTATGATCACATGGAGAGATACTCTCTCAGCCTAGACACACATGGGAGGGCCTAGGCCCTGCCCCAAATGATGTGACAGACTTTGATGATTCCCCCCATAGAAGGCCTCACTCTGTGGGGAGTGAATGGGGGCAGGGGAGGATGGGAGGGAGATGGAACTGAGATTGATACGTAAAATAAGGTTGTTTCTAATTTAAGTTTAAAAAAATTAAAAAAAGAAGAAGTATGATCAGTGTAAGTATCTGATGCTATTTAAGTGAAACTAGTTTATTTTGAATGTACATGCTACCATCTCTTGACTCAGTTTCTGAGCTATGCATGAGAAGCTCCTGTTACATGTTCTCAAGTCATAAAGTTTCCTCTTCTCTATCTTATTTGCCAGTAGATCCAGTAATAGGATTTTTTTAAAGGAGTTAATGTAATATATTTAGAAAGAAATATAAACATATAAGAATATAATGGAATTAAATAATATTTCCAAGTACCCCCCCTTTTTTTTTTTGCTTGTACTGGGTTTTGAATGTAGAGCTTTATATGCACTATATAGACATTAACACCAAGTTGCCCCCATCTGCAAGTTTTGTTTATTTATTACTGTATTTTATTTGAGGCATGGTCTTGGTAGTAGGCTGAGCTTGAAAGTGGGACTTCTCCTGATTCATCCTCTTAAGTGCTGGTATTACCAGTGTGAACCACTGTGGCCCAGAACTTTAAAAACATGTCTAAAATTAGATTGATTATTTTAATGGAGGCAGCATGTTTTTGTTGTTGTTTTGTTTTTTAGACAGGGTTTCTCTGTGGCTTTGGTGGCTCTCCTGGAACTAGCTCTTATAGACCAGGCTGGTCTCGAACTCACAGAGATCTGCCTGCCTCTGCCTCCTGAGTTCTGGGATTAAAGGTGTGCACCACTACCGCCTGGCTACAGCATGTGTTCTTAACTGTAGCATGTACATGTAAGTTGGAGGACAACTTAAGAGAGTTTTCTTTCTACCTTTTGGTTAGAAACATCTGAACAGGTCATCAGGCTTGGCAGCAGTTTCTCTTTAACTGCTGAGTGAGCCATCTTGTTTGCTACCCCAAATGTTTTAAAGCCAAGTTTTACTGCTTTTCCAGATGTCCTAGCGAAATGAATTATAATTAGGATAGTGGGGGAATGTCCATTAATAGCTGTCTGACCTGGTGGTTGACTGTTCTGCAAGGCTAACTTGATGATGGGTTCCAGGAATATTCCTGTCTTAACCTCTCCCAGTAATAGGATGAAAGACTCAAGCTACTACAACTGGCTTTCTTACATGGGTGCTGGGACCTAACCCCAGGTCTTGAGTTAAAAGAGTATCTTTTCTTTCATTTGTTTAATTATTTATAGGTCATAAATTACTTAACACAATAAAATGATCAAAATTGTTGATTTTCTTTTTCTACCTTCAAGCATGCTGGGAATATTAAAGAAGCTGCCAGATGGATGGATGAAGCTCAGGCCCTGGACACAGCAGACAGATTTATTAATTCCAAGTGTGCAAAATACATGTTAAAAGCCAATCTGATTAAAGAGGCTGAAGAAATGTGCTCCAAGTTTACAAGGGTTTGTATGGCTAATGTTCTGGAGTGTAAATAGGACATAGTTGACTTCGTGTTCATACCTTTCTCTTTCAAAGTTAGTTCTTTTATGTGTGTAGATGTTTTACCTTCATGTGTACGGTCTGTGAACCCTGTGCATGCCTGGTGCCCACCAAGGCCAGACTTGGGCATTGTCTTTGCTTTAACTGAAGTTAAGACAGTCGTGAGCAGCCATGTCAGTGCTGACAATTGGACCTGAATCTTCTGGAAGAGCACCCTGTTCTTTTAACCAGCAAGTCATTTTTCCAGCCCCTTAAGTTTCTTGTCAGTATCACAGTTGTCCAGATATTAAATTATTGTATTAGACAAAGAATAGTCAACATTAGATAAAATATTTTCTTTTTATATTATCTTATATTTGTTGGACTTTTTTTTTTTTTTTTTTTTTTTTGAGACAGGGTTTCTCTGTGTAGCCTTGGCTGTCTTGGAGCTTACTCTGTAGACCAGGCCATCTTTGAACTCAGAGATCCGCCTGCCTCTGTCTTCTGAATGCTGGGATTAAAGATGTGTACCTCACAGCTGTAGTCATCTTAACTCAGACAGTCATGGTAGTTTTTTGTTTTTTGTTTTTCTTAAAGATTTTATTTATTTATTATGTATACAATCTTGTGCCTGCATGCCAGCAGAGGGCACCAGATCTCATTCAAGGTGGTTGTGAGCCACTATGTGGTGCTGGGAATTGAACTCTGGACCTCTGGAAGAGCAGTCAGTGCTCTTAACCGCTGAGCTATCTTTCCAGCCCCTGGACAATGGTTTTTAAAATTAATTTGTAGCTGGCAATGATGGCACATGCCCTTTAGTCCCAGCACTCTTAGGAGGCAGCGGCAGGCAGATCTCTTTGTTCAAAGCCAGTCACTCTATACAGAGTAAGTTGCAGGACAGCCAAGGTTACAGAGAAGCCCTGTCTCAAAAAAACAAATAATCAAAACAAAGACCCCCCCCCCCCAAAAAAAAAAAAAAAAAAAAAAAAAAAACCCCCCCCCCCAAAAAAAAAAAAAAAACCAAAACAAAACTGGCTTGTAGTGATTACTGTCGAGAAAAATGTTTTAGGAGTTAAGGGAACTAGTATTTATTACTTATCTGCCATATGCTATTATTTATTGTGTTATTCCCTGCCACCCAGTTATTGTAGATCTTTTGTGGAGTCACTTGCAAAATTATTATCCCTAGTGGTTAGAAAAAGAACTTAAGTCAGGTGGTGGTGGCACATACTTTTATTCTTGGTACAGGATGTAGAGGCAGGCAGATTTCTGAATTGGAGGCCAGCCTGGTCTACAGAGCTCCAGGATAGCCAAGAAAGACCCTGTCTCAAAAATTATTTCAGAAATGTCATCAATTGACTATTGTTCCTTTTTAAATCTTATGATACCGTGATGTATTTGGTGGGGATTGTCTGGAATCACTATGTGATTTTTCATTTAGGAAGGAACATCAGCAGTAGAGAACCTGAATGAAATGCAGTGCATGTGGTTCCAGACGGAGTGTGCCCAGGCATACAAAGCAATGAACAAATTTGGTGAAGCACTTAAGAAATGTCATGAAATTGAGAGAGTAAGTATCTAACATATGTGAACTTCTAATTTTGTTTGATCAGATATTGAAGCCTTTGTGAAAGCCATCATATCTCCCCCACTCTCCCCTCCACATTTGTAATTCACAGCATATATTTTAGAATAGTAATACCATATTCAGATTTTGTAAATGAAAACATCTGGTATGATCTTTTATTCCTTTAAGAATCCTTTTCAAAGACTTCAGGAAACCTTTGTGTCCTGATGATGTTTTTACTGCATGCAGTTCTAACTTTTGAATTGCTGCTGTCTATCCTTGATAAAGATTTGAGCTTGGAAGCTTTTTTGCTATCTTTCTATATGCAGTGCAGTTAATAATTTTCTTACAAAATAATTTTTCAGCCTGGGTATGCTAATGTGTACTTGTAATTCCAACATTTGGGATCTTGGGAGATAGAGGCAGGAAGTTCTGGAGTTCAAGGCCTATCACCACTGTGTGTTTGAGGGCAGCTTGGGCTATGTAAGACCCTGTCTGAGGCTGGAGAGATGACTCAGTGATTAAGAACACTACTTGGTCTTAAGTGGTCCTGATTTCAATTCCCAGCAACCACATGATGGCTCAGAATCATCTGTAATAGGTCTGGTGCCCTCTTCTAGCCTGCAAGGATACATGTAGGCAGAACACTGTATACATAATAAGTAAATCTTAAAAACAAAAAAAGGACCCTGTCTGTACACCACCACCTTCCAGATGAAAATCATTTTTTTTTTTTTTTTTTGGTAGTCTTCACGATAGATTTCTATGACTAGTGTTGGGGTGTGTGTTGTTTTATATATAAACATAGGTTCTGTTAATAAGTTGACATTTGTAATATCAAATGTAGAATATCTTTCTTGGTTGAACTATGAGGTTGCTGATTTCTTGACTTATTGGCTACTTAATTTTTCATTTACATAAAAGTGCATCCTACATAGAGTTCAGATTTAGAGCCTCAAAAAAATTTCTGTAGTATATGTGCCAACTGTATAGTAGCATTGTCATATATACCAGTTAGTGGGTAGTTTGTCAGAATAGTTTTACTTAAATATGACTTAAGAAGGAAATATGTATGAAGTGTTATTATCCCCTTTAACTTATTTCAGTTTTATTTTCATTGGTGTCCTGCATTTATGTCTGTGTGAGTGTGTTGGATCCTCCGAAAGTGGGTACACAGACAGTTGTGAGCTGCCATGTGAGTTCTGGGAACTGAACCTGGATCCTCTGCAAGAGCAGCCAGTTCTCTTAAACATTGAGCTATCTTTCCAGCCCCTGCCAACTATATTTTTTATTTCATATTCCAAATATATCAAATTATTATAATTTTATATTTTTATTTTTCATGCTAATGAAGCAAGTAATCCCAAGGTTTTGCTTTTATAGTTTTCTTGGACAATGTTGTACTCCAGTGTGATAATAAAAAGATAATTTTTTTTTTTTAGCATTTTATAGAAATCACCGATGACCAGTTTGATTTTCATACATACTGTATGAGGAAGATCACCCTTAGATCATATGTGGACTTATTAAAACTAGAAGATGTACTTCGGCAGCATCCATTTTACTTCAAAGCAGCTAGAATTGCTATTGAGATCTATTTGAAGCTTCATGACAACCCTCTTACAGATGAGAATAAAGAACACGAGGCTGATACAGGTATAACATTCAGAGATTTATCATTATTTGCTCTTTGTGTGTGTGTGTGTGTTTTAAGGATTTTATTTATTATGTATACAGTGTTCTGCCTGCATGTCAGCAGAGGGCACCAGATCTCCTTCAAGGTGGTTGTGAGCCACTATGTGGTTGCTGGGCATTGAACTCAGGACCTCTGGAAGAACAGTCAGTTCTCTTAACCACTGAGCCATCTCTCCAACACCCACGCTGTTTGTGTTTATAGGTACTTAAGTTAATGAATAATGTAGCTCCCTTGCCCCCAGAGATTTTTATTGAGTATCTTGGTGGGGGCTTGTTGTCCACGACTAGAAAATGATGGGTGTTTTGTGAATTTGTCTAAGTAATAGAAGGAAAACACCACTTTTATGCTTCCAAAATAAGTTAAGACTTAATTTGATGTTTGATTTTGTTTTTGTTTTGAGAAGTTTTTTTTGGATATTTGGTGGGTGTCTAAGGATCCAATGACACCACAGCTCATTTTAAAAATAAGTGGTTAAAAGAAGACTAGGAAAACTGCTGGGACTCATTTTTCACTTTACCATTTTTTAGTGAGGTATCAAGATTTCTAGGGAGAAGTGATCCCTTAACACTTATTAGAGAAAGAATCTCAAAGTAAAGGTGGTCTTTCATATATGGTATATATTTATTATATGTATAAATATTTTTAAGTTATGACTTTACTGTAGTGAACTGACATGAGTCCCTTTAAGATAATGGCAGATATATATGACCACAGTCTCTTCACAGGTATGAAGAGACACCATAACCAAGCTCTTATAAAGGAAAACATTTAATTGTGGTTGCCTTCGTAGTTCAGGTATTTAGTCCATTGTCATTGAGGTAGGAACCCATGGTGTTGGAGAAGGAGCTGAGAGTTCTACATCTGGTTCTCCAGGCATCAGAAAGAGACAGTGAGCCATTAGGCCTACTTTGAGCTTCTGAGATCTCAAAGCCCATCCCCAGTGACACAATTCCTCCAGTAAGGCCACACTTCGTAATAATGCCACTCTCCATGGGCCTGATGGGGCCATTTTCACTCAGACCACCACATATAGTAAGACTCTGTTAGAAGAGCTAAAAATTGGAAAAGTAACTCAGTTGGTTCTTTTCTAGCACGTGTAAGGCCTTGCAGTATAGTTCAAAAAACACAATCCATTTGATAAAATGTTATTAGAGCATAATGAAACATATCTTTTTTTTTAAAAGATTTTATTTATTTATTATGTATGCAGTCTTCTGCCTGCATGCCAGCAAAGGGCACCAGATCTCATTCAGAGTGGTTGTGAGCCACCATGTGGTTGCTGGGATTAAAGGTGTGTGCCACCACTGCCTGGCTACAGTGTTGTTTAATATGTAAACAATGTTACTATATACAAAATAAAGTTAGTTTAGAATAAATAAAAAATTAAAAGCAGGGAGTGGTTAAGATCATATCCTGCTCTTGGAGAGGACCCAAATTTGGCTCGCAGCACTCATGTTGGGTGGCTCACAATTGCCCATATCTCTGGCTCCAGGATGTCTGACATTGTCTTTTGGCCTTTGTAGGTTTTGCATTCACATGCCTCTCACCCTTTAAATATTTAGTTAAATAACTAAAGCCTTTGGGGGTAAAAATTAGAGTCTGGTGCGATAGCTCAGCAGTTAAGAGCACTTGCTACTCCAGCAAATCATCTAAGATTAGTTCCTTTGCACACTCCTGTTTTAGGGGCTACAGTACTCTCTTCTGACCTCTGAGGGCACCTGTTATACATGTGGTACACATAACATAAATACAGACAATGCATCTTATCTTAGTCATTGTTTTATTGCTGTGAAGAGACACAATGATCAAGATTACTATTATAAAAGAAACATTTAAGTGAGCTTTCTTGCAATTTCAGTCTATTATCATCATGGTAGGGAGTGTGGCAGGCATGATAGTAAAATAGTAAAATATATCCTGCTTTTTTAGGCACCAGACAAAGAGAGGCTGGTCCTGGCATTGGCTTTTGAAACCTCAAAGGCTCACCCCCAGTGATACACTTCCTTCAATAAGCCTTATCTCCTACTCTTTCTCAAATGTGCCACTCTGATGACTAAGCATTCAGATATAGGTGCCTGTGGGTGCCATTCTTATTCAAACCATCACACACCTATACCAATAAAATTTTGAATGTTGCCAGGCGGTGGTGGCATACACCTTTGATCCCAGCACTCGGGAGGCAGAGACAGGCGGATCTCTGTCCGTTCGAGACCAGCCTGGTCTACAAGATCTAGTTCCAAGACAACCTCCAAAGCCACAGAGAAACCGTGTCTCAAAAACCAAAAAAAAAAAAAGAGAAAGTTTCTCAGGTAGTTACAGTGAGTTTTGTTAATATGTTTATAATTCTGTAACACTTACTTCCTACAGCAAACATGTCTGACAAAGAGTTAAAGAAACTACGTAATAAACAAAGAAGAGCACAAAAGAAAGCCCAGATAGAAGAAGAGAAAAAAAATGCAGAGAAAGAAAAGCAGCAGAGAAATCAGAAAAAGAAAAAGGATGATGATGATGAGGAAATCGGAGGCCCCAAAGAAGAACTTATCCCAGAGAAATTGGCCAAGGTATTTCATAGTTGTGCCTAGCACAAGTGTGTGAGTGCCACGGCAAACTTTTGGCTTTGAAAATTCCAATTATCTTTATGTATTTGTTTGTGTGTCTTTTGTGCAGATGTGTATGTATGTGTGTGGCTGTGCTTGTAGAGATTAGAGGACAACTTGTGGAAGTCTAGCTCACCTAGGCTACCTAACCAAGACCCTGTCTGAAAAAAAAAATTTATTTTTTAAAAAATCAGACTCTGGCTGGGCGGTGGTTGATACTCGAGGCAGAGGCAGGCAGATCTCTTGTGAGTTCCAGGCCAGCCTGGTGTACAGAGCAAGTTACAGAATGGCTCCAAACCTTCAGAGAAACCCTGTCTAGGAAAGAAAAAAAAAAAAAAAAAAAAAAAAAAAAAAACCAGACTCTGATTTGTGGATTTTAATCATTGTACCCAAACCTAAATACTTAATAATTATTATCACATGAGTTATTTTGATTAATAACCTTTCTTTTGACCACAGCAATTGTATTTTATGGGGGTAATGGTTGTGTAACTCATGTGTTAAATGGATAGAATAAATGCATTTTAGCGTCACTAATCATTTGAAATTTGAATTTCAATTCCTCCTTTAGAAAGTTTTCCTGAGTCTGAGCTGCAGTGTTGTTTTTGTGCCAGGTGTCACAATATGGCCTAATGATTATTAGTAGCTAGGGTTATAGATTTTCAGAACTAAGTTTCTGAGTGCATTGTTTGAGAACATAGAAGGAACCCCTCTCATAGATTGTTTCTGACTTCATAGTATTATTACTTGCAAGGAACATAAGGGCTCCTCTTTTCCTAGTATAAGTAGCTCAAAGATGCTCTTATCCAGTAGCATTCTCACTTATTTGGTAGTGTCAAGGCTAGATTACATCAAGCCTTCCATAATTAGTAGTTGCAACTTGAAGGATATTCTAAAAGTCAATGCCAAATAGCCTAAAGTGCTGTGTGTGTGTGTGTGTGTGTGTGTGTGAATCATCTCAAGATAGCATATGTATGACATAGAACAATACCATTAAATCAGTAATTCCGTCCATGGAGAAATGGAAAATGCTGTGGGTTTAGTTAATAAGTTTGGTACTCAGTCAGCTAAAGATAAACCTAAAATTTTCATGAAAGCTTGTTTGTTTGTTTTGAGCAGGGGCTCATCCTAGCCCAGGCTATTCTCAACCTTGTGGCAGTTCTCCTTCCTCAAGTGCTAAGATTACAGGCAAGAGCCACCATGCCCAGCATATGATCTTCAAATTACAAATTGCCTTGAAATCTAATCTTCATGAGACAGAGACATACTGTTTTATTTTATATGTATGTGTATTTTTCTTGTGTGTATGTCTGTGCACCACGGAGTGCCTGGTGCTGGCAGAGGTAAGAAGATAGTGTTGAATCCCCTAGAAATGGAGTTAGCACATGGTTGTAAGTCTTTATTTGAGTGCTAGAAACCAAACCTGGGTCTTCTCCAAGAATAGCAGTTGCTCTGAACTACTGAGCCATCTCTCCAGCACCTAGTTGATTTGTTTAAAATTGTTCTTCTAGAAGATTAGCATCCATTTTGTGGCTTACAGAAGTCTGAACTCCACTCCCAGGATATCTCACACTCTTCTGGCCTCTCAGGGCACTGCATGCATATCATGTACAGGCACACATGCAACAACACCAATATACCTAAAAATAATAAGAGTTTTTAAAAATCATTTAAGAATTCTAGAGAAAAAAGTTGTCTTATGAAAGGTTAAAATTTGACAGTGTGTTTCTGGGTAACTGGTAAGTGCTTTTTTTTTTTTTTAACTTTTGGCAAAAGAAAACAGGAGTTTAAATTAAGTTCATATTCCTCAAGAATCTTACTTCCTTTTGTATAATGTCTTTTATTTTGTTAGGTTGAGACTCCATTGGAAGAAGCTATTAAGTTTTTAACACCGTTGAAGAATTTGGTGAAGAACAAGATAGAAACTCATCTTTTTGCCTTTGAGATTTACTTTAGGAAAGGTAGGATATTAGGTTACAGTGGCCCTGATAAAACTGATCACTCCATTTTTTAGGATTAGTGTCACCCACCACTGTTGCATTTCTTGGCAGAGGCCAATATAGATTTCTTGTAGAAATGCATGCTATGCACAGAATGTTGTGGGAGAATACAGTGATACTATTTGACTTCTTCGAGAACACAAAGCCCAACAGTAGCTGCATACCTGGGATTAAGTCAGAGGTAGTAATCACGTCATGTGTGATTCAAGGAACAAATTTAGGATTTTGTGGATAAAAATTCTTAATATAAATGTAAAGCTTAGCCAGGCAGTAGTGACACATACCTTTAATCCCAGCCTTTTGTAGGCAGAGGCCAGCTTGTTCTACAGAGTGAGTTCCAGATCAGCCAAGGCTGCACAGAGAAACCCTGTCTCAGAAAAAGAAAAGAAAAGAAAATGTAAAAAATAGTGGGTTCTACAGTTAAGCATCAAATAACTTTTATCTGTTATGAGCTGATAACATAAATAAAAAGTAGTTTCTGAGCTGGATCTTTAGTCTTCATGATTGTGAAAGCGAGTGTCCACTAAAAATAGAAAATGTCAGCAGTGTTGGTGTTGGCGATATTGGAAGGGCCAGAAGAATGGTCTTGTCTTTCACTTTTAGAATGCTCTTGTGTACACATGTACATACATATGTACGTACATACACACATACACACAGTTTCATAATAATGAATTTGTGTAATTCATTGGAAAAGTTTATTATGGTAGTATGAATTGAAATAAAAGGAAATTGGTTATTAGTAAGATCAGACTAAGGCTGTTACATCAATAAGTAGTTTTTGTGAAGCTAGTCCCAGCTACTGGGAAGTTGAGGCAGGAGTGTTGTGGCCCATGAGTTCAAGGCCCACATGGACAATACAGATAGACTGTAATGTAACTTTTATTTTGAAATAGGATGCAAAACTTAGTATTAATTGAATGTTTAATTGTTTATGAAGACAAGTCCCTGTGTTTTCCTGACTGGGCTGGAACTCAGTGTGTAGACCAGGCTAGACTTGAACTTGTCAGCAGTTCTCCTGCCTTTGCTTCCTGAGTCTGGGATCATGGGTGTGTGTCAGTATGCCCAGCTGTTAACATATTTGTATAGATATATAATACAGAAGTGGCTAGGAAGAAATGGATCAATAGATTGCAGTTGTTTCTTGATACATTTTTAAGATGTTAAAATTTATCTTAACTATATTTTCTATTTTTCACAATTAAAACTTTGAAAATAAGTTTATTAAATAGGTAATTTTTATATTTTAAACACTTAACCCTCCTTTTGGGGAGGGGCAGGGAGATAGGATTTCACTATGAGCAATGGCTGGCCTAAAACTCATAGAGGTCCTACTTGCTTTTGCCTCCTGAGTGCTGGATTTAAAGGGGTGCACCATGGTGCCTGACTAACCCAGTTATTTTTAAAATTAATCTTAGAGGGCCAGCAAGATGGTTCATCAGATACCCCCAAGCAAGACATTTTGAGTTTCAATCTCAGAAACCATTTGGAAGAAGGAGAAAACTTACTAGTATAATTCAGTGACCTCCACTAGCACACACAAAATCAATACAATTCTTAGCACAGTAGTACAGTGTAGCAACTGTTCCTGTAATCTCAGCAGGAGGCGAATGAGTTCTAGGCCAGCCAAAACATAGTGAGAACCTCGTCTTAAATGTAAATTAAAAACAAAAGTGTTTCTAGGTGGAATCCTCAGATACACTAAAGTTTTGCTGCTTAAAGGGATAATGGAGGGCTCTGTTGAATTGGCTTCTTGGCTGTGTTCTAATTTCAAAGGTGCCTCAGCATCTTTCATTGATTTCTAATAGATGATGATTAAAGAGCATGGCAGGAATTTTAATGTTTTCTGAGTTTTGGGGCCATGGGAAAGGAATTATTTCAGAATAACTTAGGGTTTTCTACTTTGATATTTGAAACATGATGCCAAATTAGGAAAGTCTCAACAAAGAGGTGACTATCAAGAAGACTCAGTGTAAGTTTCTGTTTAACAGGTGGAGGCACCGCTGAGACTTGGGAAAGGTAAGCAGGTGGGAATAGGGATAGTGTAGAGCAATTAGAAAATATAGTCTGGGTAGATGGCATCCAGAGATGGCAGAGGAGTCAGAGATGGACAGAGTCAGGTGGAAAGGGAATTGTGTGTCATTGAATACAGAAAAGGAGAGTTTTTCTATGGAATGTAACATGTCTTTGTTTTTATTAAAGGAAACTGGAAACAAATTGGTTTTAAATTTTGTTTCTCTGTTTATATGATACTAGTTCATATATCACAGAATGCCGTGTAAGTTATTTTTTGTGGAACCACTTGAAGAATGGCATATGAACATAACTGACATGTAGCCAATTGGAAGGAAAATGTTTGCTTCAAAGATGTTATAGCTCCAATATGATTGAGTCTAAATTCACTTTTTGTGTTTCTAAGGTCCCTGGCCCTTCCAGGAAGGATAACTTATTTTATCAAATTATCAAAATAGTATTTTTTTCTCTTTATAGAAAAGTTTCTTTTGATGCTACAATCAGTAAAGCGGGCATTTGCTATTGATTCTAGTCATCCCTGGCTTCATGAATGCATGATTCGACTCTTTAATTCTGGTAGGTTTTTATTCCCATACTTCACATATTTGATTAGTAGCTCATATTGAATGTCAGACTGGAGTGTGGCTCATTGGGTCAGAGATTTTGCTGCTCCTCCAGAGGACTTGAGTTTGATTTACAGGACCCACATTAGACAAATACCTCTAACTCCAGCTCTGGGCTAACCAATGCCATTTTTAGGCCCCAAGCAACATCTAAAAACACATGGCATACACGTACATAAGTAAAAGCAAATAATAAATATTAAAAAATTAAAAAAAAAAAAGTATGGGGGCTGGAGAGATGGCTCAGAGGTTAAGAGCACTGGCTGCTCTTCCAGAGGTCCTAAGTTCAGTGCCCACCAACTATATGGTGGCTCATGAACATCTATAATGAGTTCTGGTGCCCTCTTCTGGCATGCAGACAGAACACTGTATACATACTAAATAAGTCTTTGTGTGTGTGTTTGTTTTTCTGAGACAGGGTTCCTCTGTGTAGCTTTGGAGCCTGTCCTGGAGCTCACACTGTAGACCAGGCTGGCCTCGAACTCACAGAGATCTGCTTGCCTCTGCCTCCCTAGTGCCGGGACTAAAGGCAAGTGCCAGCACTGCCCGGCCTAAATAAATCTTTAAAAAAATAAAAAGAATCTGAACTAAACTCAGTCATTTTAAAGGAATTGCATATTCAGTTAGCTAAGAGAAAAATATTGTTCTTTTGTGATGAAGATTTAATTTTAAAGTCCATAAATGCTATGTAGTGTTGGTATACAATTGTGTGGTTCATGTATTTGAGAATCTTTTGGCTCTCTTTCTCTGTTTCTGTAATGGAGATTGAACCTAGACCTCATGCTTGGTAGGCAAAACATGCTTCTGCTAAGTTACAACCTATCTATAAGTAAATTTTGTTACTTTAAAATAGTCACCTAAAAGCTGGGCATTGGTGGCGCACGCCTTTAATCCCCAGCACTCGGGAGACAGAGGCAGGCAGATCTCTGTGAGTTCGAGGCCAGCCTGGTCTCCAGAGTGAGTGCCAGGATAGGCTCCAAAGCTACACAGAGAAACCCTGTCTCGAAAAACCAAAAAAAAAAAAAGTCATCTAAAAGCAATCATGTGCTTTTCAGTTATTTTGACAATCAGATCAATACATTGATTTCAATTTGTATTAGAAGCTTAAAATAAACACTGTTTTCAAGCCCTTTCCCTCCATCTGGGATAGAAATGTTAGTGTTACTGATGTGCCTGACTGTATTTGGCTTTTTAACCCAAGGTTCAGGAATTGAGCTCAGGTCCACAGGCTTGTTTGGCAAGTGCTTTTACCTACTAAGCCATCTCCCTGGACTTCTTTTGCCCTTTTTTACTTTATTTATTTATTTGTTGAGGCAAGTTCTTTGCACGTTGTCACGACTGTCCTAGAACTCAGTGAATAGACCAGGCTGACTTTACACTCACCTGCTTCTGCTTACTGAGTGCTGGGATTAAAGACATGAAGGAAAATCTACTTACTGTTTTCAAAAGTATGGTAAAATGATAAGTATAATTTATTGAATGCCAATAACATAATTTTAGAGCTTTGACACATAGTAGCTTTTCCTTAAGGCATCTTTTAGGTTACTTCTCACCCTCTTTCAAGTTTAAAATGAATAACCCCATCCATGGTTCCTGAAGATAAAGATTAGTGAAGTTGGTCATATTTGATTTTTGCTTTAACTAGTAAAGGTGCTTTGGGTGTAGAAGACGATGAACTATTACAAGCTTTATCAGAGTATCAAGCTGCTAAGAGTTGTCTTTTTAATTTATTCAACAGTGTGTGAAAGTAAAGACTTACCTGAAACAGTTAGAACAGTATTAAAACAAGAAATGAATCGTCTTTTTGGAGCAACAAATCCAAAGAATTTTAATGAAACTTTTCTGAAAAGGAATTCTGATTCATTGCCACACAGATTATCAGGTAATCACTTTATTTGGTCCTTCCAGTAGCCTTCTTGAACAACTTTAGTATTTTAATGAATCACTGTCAAGGTAAGGTATATATTTTGCTCAAAATGGCAATATGCACTACACTTTTTTAGTAGTAGGAAAACAGGCAGCGTGTAGTTGCTTCTTCTATATTTTAAATTTTTGTGAAACAGAATCGTTACAGTAAAACAAGATATGTTGTTTCTACTGGTTCAGAATTAACATAAATAAGTACAACTGATTTTTTTTGGGGGGGGGAGTAAGGTCTCACTGTGCACCCCTGCCTGATGTGAAAGTCACTGTGTAAAGAAGGCTAGCCTCTAATTCACAAAGATCTGCCTGCTTCTGCCTCCAGGTTCTGGGACTAAAGGCTTGTGCCATCTCACTTAGAAGTACAAGCTGAATTAAGCAGGTTTTATCTCCAGTACCCACCACCCCAGGGTGAATTTGTATATATTATAAAACTGTGCAAGTAAAGCTTGTGTTCTTCTCATGCTTCCATTATTGTGATTATAAAGCTCACTTAATGTGATTTTGATTTCTCATGCTTATGTATTTATCAGACTTGGTAAGCTAAACACCTGAAAACCATCTTACATTTCAGAAAGTTTGAGGCAATAAGAGTCAGTCACAGTGAACAAAGTCTGGGCTTTATTACTGTGCTTTTATAAGATTGTTGTCACACACTATTAATCCCAGAACTGTGGAGGTAGAGGCAGATGGATCTTGTACCTTCCTTGTCTACCTAGCAAGTTCCAGGCCAGAGCTACACAGTGAGCTCTGTCACAGACAAAACAAAGCAAACCTGGCTAAAGCCTAGAGCTTTGTATGCCATTGTAGGAAGGTGAATGCAAGCTTTCATCTTAGGCCATTAAGCTCATGGCTGTTTCTCTCATTGCCTTTTCCCATGTGAAATTACTGAACCATTTGAAAATGATTTACAATCTTATTACACCAACACAGGTATTAAAGAGTGTTTGTATTGCCTCATGTTGTTTGATTATGTATGGTTTAACTAAAATTCTGTTCCATTGGGCGGATCTCTTATGTATCTTAATCCTTTAACAGTAGACAGTCCGATCCTCTTAGGGTGTTACTGTAATAACAGTGTCTCTCTCCCATGGCTATAACATATAGCACTGCTTGTGCATACGTTCTATTTTAAATCAGAATGAGTAGATGCCAAGACTGTTCAAGGTTCTTAAACTAAGGCGCCTCCCCTTTCCCTCCCATTTAGCTGCCAAAATGGTATATTATTTAGATTCTTCTAGTCAGAAACGAGCAATAGAGCTGGCAACAACACTTGATGGATCCCTCAACAACAGAAACCTTCAGGTAACCGGGTCTACTTATTTATTTATTTTAAGTAATCTCTCTGTAAGAGAAACTAACTACTCTTTTACTTCTCACTAAAAGTTTTAAGGGGTTATGTGTTTGTGTGTGTGTGTGTGTGTGTGTGTGTGTGTGTGTGTGTGTGTGTTCTTATGTACAAGTATGCCAGGTTAGTTGGTATATAGTAAATAGTTTCGTGTATATAACCTGAAATAACTTTACTTAAAAAATATGTTATGATAAAATTACGTGTACTCAGGCTGGAGAGAGGGCTCAATTCCCAGCACCCACATGGTACCCTCTTCTGGCCTGCAGGCATACATATAGACAGAACACTGTATAGGTAATAAATAAATAAATGTTAAAGAAAGAAAATGAGGAATGCACATAACATGAAACATTTTAAAATGCAGATACAAGTGTGTGAAAGAAGTGTGTGTGTGTGTGTGTGTGAGAGAGAGAGAGAGACAGAGACAGACAGACAGACAGACAGACAGACAGGACCTGTTTTTCTAATCACTTTGTACTGGACATTTTTCTGCTTATTGGGGTTGTTTGTGCATCAAGGATTGCTCTTTTAAAAAATATATTTTTGTATTTGAGTGGTTTTGCCTGCATGTATGGATATGCACCATATGTATGCTTGGTGTTCTTAAAGGTCTGAAGAGGGCTTTGGATCTCCTAGAACTCAAGGTAGGGATAGTTGTGAACCACCGTGTGGATGATGAAAACCAAACTTGAGGCCTCTGCAAAAGCAACAACTGCTGAGCCATCTCTCTAGCCTCAACATTCCTTGATTTGAATTTGGGGTTTAATGATAACAGGAATAGATTTTGCTATTTGTTGAGAGTAGCCTTGGCTGGAATAGAACTCACTATATATAACATAGACCACACTGGCCTTGAACTCATAAGGGTCCACTTGCTTATGCCTCACAAGTGCTGGGATTAAACATGGGCCACCATGTCCTGGCCAGTATTTGTCGTGGCTCATTGCTTCCCCAAAAGAAGGAAAGTTAATGTCCTATATGCAGAGACTGGCAGAGACTGGCAGAGACATTGTAAGTTTAACATTTATACATAGGGTAAATTAATGTCATTTCATAAGGTTGTGTACTTGCTCAAAGTACCCTTTTAAAAAACAGTACTTTTAGCCTGGTGGTAGTGGTGGCACACATCTTTAATTCCAGAAGCAGGTGGATGTCTGAGTTCTTCGAAGTAAGCCAGGGTTATACAGAGAAAACCACCCCCTCCCTTTTTGTTTTGTTTTTTGTTTTTTGTTTTTTGTTTGTTTGTTTTCTAGAGAAAACAGTGTTTCTCTAGCTTTGGAGGCTGTCCTGGCACTCGCTCTGCAGACCAGGCTGGTCTGGAACTCACAGAGATCCGCCTGCCTCTGCCTCCCTAGTGCTGGATTAAAGGCATGCGCCACCAACACCCAGCACCCATTGCTTTTTTAATGCCTGTGTATCTCATCAAATGTACATACTCTTGTCTTTGTTTAATTTTGCTATAAACCCCCATTTCAACCCCATGGTTGAAATGTCTCATAAGACCTGTTTTGTGCTGAATTCTAACATGACCTTTTCTTTTTTAGACTTGCATGGAGGTATTGGAAGCCTTGTGTGATGGTAGCCTAGGAGACTGTAAAGAAGCTGCTGAAGCTTATAGAGCAAATTGTCATAAGCTTTTCCCTTATGCTTTGGCTTTCATGCCCCCTGGATATGAAGAGGATATGAAGATCACAGTTAATGGAGATAGTTCTGCAGAAACTGAAGAACTGGCCAATGAAATTTGAACATCATTAAACAGCAAATGGAATGACTTTGGACCATATCTAGTGTATAATATTTTTGTCACGCACCTGCTGCATTGCTCTAACTTACACAGAATGAGAGGAGTAAATGTTCTTGCCTTCAAATAGTCTTTTACGTTTTTTATCCTGCTGAAAACTATATATAAAATATCTAACATTACAGGATATAGGTTCAGTTTCTTAAAAATTAAAAGCTGCTAAAATTGAGGGGTTTAAAAAAAAATTCCATATCGTACTCCTACCTTCCCCGCCCATGTTTTTAAACTAATTTATATAAAATCTGGAGGCTATTACAGCTAACATAGCAGGTGTGTGGCAGAAATATTACTTTAAATTTGTCTTGTGAGATTTTACTATATCTCAGACAGCATAAATGCTGTTTTAGCACTGGATTCTTTCACTGAGCACAAAGAGTTGTTGGGGCTTTAGCATCTGACTGATTTTGTTACGGGGTTGATTCTTGACCATAGGAAGTATGCAATGTGAATCACTATGTACAGAGCCATCTACAACAGACGCTTGACGTTGTAGAGACTGGGACACATAGCTACCAAGCAGATTATATGAAACCTAGAAGGTGTTCAGTACGTGTGTTGTGTTTCCAAAATTTGCTGTACATGATCAGTTTGGTGTTCTTGTACCACAGTTTTTAACCGAAGGAACCAGTTGGAACAATCTCAATTTTAACAAAAACTTGAAGAACTAAAATAACAATGCAAATCTTTAGCATTGTTTTGGCCAAACTTGTTAAAACTGTAATGCAAGAACCAAATGCACTGTGATGTGGCACCAACTAATTAGCAAGCATGAATTTTTCACCTGAGAGTGAAAAAAAAAAAAAAAAAAGAAAATCTACCATGGCTTGAAGTTAAAGAGCAGAACTCCTGACTACCATTCTATGACTGATCAAGAGACTAATAGCTAAAAACCTCAGCAGGCCTTGTTCACGATATGCAGAAAAAAGTGCTGCAGTTTAGATACCTCTGGAACTTTTCCACAGTGTCACAGGTTTGTAATACTTGAAGCCCTTCATTTCTAAGAATATATTTCTTGCTCAGTTGTTTCAGGCAAGCCCAAGACTTTGTAATTTTTAAAGGTCCCAAGATTTTCATTTCAATAACAGACCAGCTTCTTTTTCCTGCAGTTACAAATGTAATTTCTTTTTTGTTGTCAAACATAAGGTACCAAATATGATGCAATAAATTGTTTTGAAAAACAGTTGTGTGAATATTTCCACTAATCCGAGTTGGGCTTCTGTGAAATACACAGGTGGAAACAGAGGTTGCAAGCCAGAGGCAATGAAATGCACTGTAGAGTTAGTACAGATGGGAGCTTTTTAGAGTGGGCTAATTGATGGTGTCAGGGAAGTTCCAGAATAAAGTAGAATGCTGCTCCTTTGTTCAGATTTCACTGAGGGCTAGGATTGTGGCAGGTCCTATGAATGTAATTCATAATCTGAAAGGAAAACTAAACACGACTATTTTGATTGGGAAAATGAGCCTTAAACATGTCAAACCTGTACACTGAGAACTAGCCTCAGGCTCAATATTCTCTTTATGTTTGCAAGGTCTGAGCAATTAAGTTTAAGTAAAATGAATTAAGTGTATATAAAATTGAACTTTTGTAGTATTTTAGTTATAGATAGTTCATACGCTAAAGGGAATTTTCAGAAGATCAAATCCTTTTATTTCATAGTACATGATCTGCATTCCACATCCCAGTCTAACAGGTTAGTGATGCAAAGATAATCGTAGTCTGAACTCCAGTGCTTTGCTTTAACAGGCCCTGTCTCAGGAACATCTTAACAGATGGCAAAAAAAAAAAAAAAAAAAAAAAAAAAAAAAAAAAAAAAACTCTTCTTAAAACTTAAAAATTTCTCCTATGAGTGGCAACTGAGACTCTTATTGTATGGAAAAAACACTAGTGCTTCCTCTGCCACTAATTCAGTGTTGGAGGAGGCACCAGCCATATAGTAGGCGCGAGCGCGCGCGCGTGTGTGTGTGTGTGTGTGTGTGTGTGTGTGTGTGTGTGTGTGTGTGTGTGTGTGTGTCTGTGTGTGTGTGTGTATTTGTTTAAGCTCTACTGTATATCACAATGAAATCCGTCTATTTGTCTTGACAATGTTCAAACAATGTAGATTGTCTTAGAAGGACTCAGAAGGACTGAGACTCTAATGCAGATGCCACCCGAGAGGAGCTAAATTCCTATCATGTATATTGTATTTCAACCCAATTTTACTGGAACTATTGAATAAATCTTTTATTTTCTTTCAGGTTTACTTGATAGTGTATACATTGTCTGGTGTCAAAGGACCTTGACTGGGTTCACCTAAAACATTGTACTGTACTCTCTGAGTATATCAACTGGATCATTTCACATTTGCCCCATCCATATTCAGTTAAAATCCAGTGATACTGTGGGGGAAAACAGGGTTAGATAAACAAGTTGGAAAAATGCAGTGTGATGTTGTAATCTAAACAAGTGCCTTATGTTTATTGCTAAGAACTGGTGTTATCAACCCTTTTAATAAGAAGGGGTTCTCTCGGCCTGTATTAATATAGGAAAGTAAAGATCCTTTTGTTTTTCTTTATATTTCCTTATTGTCATTTCTCATTGAAAAGCTAAACTCTGACTAGCTTAGTTTACTTAGCTTTAATTAGATAGTTGAGTCATACATTTTCACTATTTTTTCTGTATTTATTATGCACAACAATAAAATGATCTCTAATAGCATGACTAAAAGTAGTGCCGATGTCACTGGAAAGCTTTCTGGGTCTTATTAGGCCCTGCTTTTTTCACCATGATTGTACTGCATGCTCTATTGCTCTCGGAGCTGTGAAATGAAAACTGTGATTGTATGAAGAGCTCAGAGAACCATGGTCCAGAATCAGGTTGGTTGTAACAAACTCAGAGAAATCTGTTTTGATCACTTGGTAAGACTTATTTCCATTGCCATGCATAGCATCCATTTGGGGAAAGCTTAAAAAGGAGAGTATTGAATATGGTACGTGTTTCTTTTAGGTAATTACTGTCCTTGAATTCTATAGATAATGAAGCTAAGAGAATTCAGACCAACCTTTCTGATGGACGGGGTCTTCCTTTTCTGCCTCATGCTTGATTTTTTTAATTGAAAGATTCTTAATACCATTTTGCTATTGTCCAAGTTTTGCTAAATCAATTAAGTCTAAGACACAAACTCTACGAAATAGCTATGTCACACCACAGGAAGCAGAAATTGTCTCAGTTTTTGCTGGTTAGAAACTACAATTTGTAGCAATAAGTTTTGGGAAAGGTTATTTATCAAGTTTCACTTTTCCCTTCTACAGCTATGAAATGCATATGGAAAGTCTTTTTTAGCGTGTAGGAGGTTCTGGAGAACGCTGTTATTTAACAAATAATGTCTTACATATATTCTAGTTCATATAGTAAAATAACTAATTCCATGAAGACATACTCATGAAAATACTAAAAACAAGCAAAGGGTGCTGTGTGTGAGGATGCATTCCTGCAACCCCAGCACTTAGGAGATGGAGTTGAGGGCCAGTGTGAAAGGAAAGAAAGAAAGCTTAGGGGAAAGGTATTAAGAGTCTAGAAGTCTGCAGTTTGTTAGTTCATGCAGTTAGCTCTGAGGCATCATTTTGGGATGGTAGCTAGAAGAAAGAGAAGTTTGGTGTAAATTGGAACCCCAGTGTTCTGTGTACCTAAACCAGACTATAGCCTTTGTTTCAAGGTTGCTTATACCAAATGTAAGGATATTACTAGCAGTGCTACAAAACCATTCTGAGGCCTGTCATATTTTTTGAGACAGTATCTCACTATGTACCACTGCTTGCCTCAAACATAAAGGTCTGAATTCCTCTCCTGAGTGCCGGGATTAAATACATGTACCATTATGCCTAGCTATGAAGGTTTAAGATGAGTGGGGGTTTGCACATTTGTGTGAAAATGCATGTTGTGGAGGTCAGGACAACTTAGGAATCTCACCATCCACCCTTATGTGTGTTTCAGGGATCAAACTCAGGTTACCAGGCTTCATGGCACCTTAACCTGCTGAGACATTTCACTGGCCCATAAGTGAGGCTTTGGTCTCTAGTTCAAGAAACTATTTCGTGCAAGATGGTTTGTTTCTACATGTTGGTAATCTCATTGTATTGTAAAGATGTCTGGCTCCTCTGAGAATGCACTGTCTTCTCATTTAGGAGGAACAGGAAGTGAGGTGATTTTGAGAGTGTGGTCTAGATCTTGAGTTGATTTCAACTAATGATGCTTGTCTTCTATGTTTACATGTATATGACTGGCACAGGGACCATCTGTGCTGTCTGTGGTTTTCCATTATTTGGTCCTGAATGAATTTGCCACCTGTTTACATTGTAATTGGAGTTTTTCAGAACACACTCAAGGCTACATTGTTCTTCCAAACTGGCTTTTCTTAGGAGCTCTACCTATCAACCCTCAAGTAATCATATTGCTGCTTTGTTTCTTTTAAAATGAAAAAGTTGCCATTTAAAGTAGATGGTAACAAGACTATCACCTGGATTCTGGAATACCAAATACTCATAACTCTTCTGTTAGTTAACTTAGTTTTTTTAAAAAAGTGAGAGTAATACACATTTAAGAACATGTATTCAGCATTACTTGTTCAGAAGTTCATTAAAAAGGACCTAAGAATAATAAGCCAACTGCTTCAGTTGTTTTTTTTTTTTTTTAGAGTTGAAAAAGTTTTAAGCACTTCATTTTCAGCTTACTGACTAGAACTATGTAAATGAAATGTCCAGTTGTATCATGAAATTACGTGACCACTGCTTTGGCTCAAATTCCTTTAAGTCCACACACACCTTTAATCCCAGCTCTCGGGAGGCAGAGGCAGGTGGATCTTTGAGTTCGAGGCCAGCCTGGTCTACAAAGTGAGTTCCAGGATGACCAGGGATGTTACAGAAACTGTACACCCCCACCCCCCAAAAAAATAACTCTTCTGTAAGTCCATTTTAAAATTTGCCTTTATTGTATATTGTGTGTGAACTTGGAGATCAAAGAACAATTTGCAGGGATCAGTTCTCTTCACTCATCATGTAGGTCCCAGGATTTAGATTGCCAGGTTTGGTGGCAAGTGCCTTTACCCACTTAGTCAACTCTCCTGTCTGTAAATCTATAAAAATCTTAAAACAGCCAGGTGGTGTGGTGGCACACAGCCTTAATTCTAGTACTCTGGAGTCAGAGGCAGGAGGGTATCAATGAGTTCTAGGACAGCCTGGTTTTCAGAGCGAGTTCCAGGAGAGCCAGGATTGTTACACGGAGAAACCCTGTCTTGGGGGAAAAAAAATTTTTTTAAAAAATTACATAGGGATGAGAACAATGCATAATAGATATTCAAACTCTTAGGAAGTAGCAATGATGGTGAACTTAGGTCATCTGCAAAATCTTAAATTTTCTATCCTTTTATCTGTGGTTATAGAAGAGTCATCTTGATACTATCTGTTGGCCATAAGAAATCATCTCAAAATATTACAGATACATATTTATTGATGTTATCAGTATTTTTCCACATGTAATTTTTGCTCTTTTTTTTTTTTTTGTCAGAAATGGTTGTGGCTTACTTTGTAGGGCACAGGTGCTGGAAGTACCATCTGTTTAATTTTCTCCATTGTTGTGATACTGGTTGGCAGTGAATGGGTTCATCTTATATCTTTAGCAGGCTCTACTTAGGTACTGACATGCCTATTAGAAGTGACTGACTGCAAAGGATGCCACTTCAAAGAATATAAGGCATTGGTGACAGACATGCTACATACCTAGACTTTTAATGGTCTAGTATCTTTAATTTTCTAGCTTCTCCACACCATAGTCAGTCAATGACAGCCATCAGCTCTAGTCTGCCAGTGCCTTCCTCTATGTGATTCAGTCCTTAAAATTATAAGCTTAACACTGGTTCTGTATTCAACTCCCAGGAGAAATCTGAAAACACCTGTGTTTCCCAGGCCCACTAGGAAAGTTGATTAAAATGATCTGCAGCTAGTATTAATAATCAGTATTGACAGCTGCCTGACCCTGACCTTTCCAAGAGATTGTAAGGTACATCCAAAGTTTAGAGGCAGTCTCAGTCTAAGTGTGTGTATGCCTTTAATCCTAGCACTGAGGACTCAGAAGCAGGTAGCTCTCTTAAACTTTGAGGATAGCCTGGTCTACAGAATGAATTCCAGGAGGGCCTAGAGTACACAGAG